GCGGGGGAGAGGGAACTTGAAAAGGTTGGCTCTCCCTCTTGTGGTCGGACTGAAAGGGGAACTTGAAAAGGTTCACCCTTCAGCCGCGGGAAAGGGAACTTGCAAAGGTTCACTTTCTCGCTGGCGTTCGAACTGGAGAGGGGACTTGAAAAGTTTCTCTCTTCCTACGAGTAGGACGATTGAAGGATGCGAGAGGAAGGGGGAGAGAGGAGCTTTGCTTCGTGTTTGGTAGGAAGGGGAAACTAGCGCAATTTTTTTCTGGGCGTTCCAGGGGTTGGGAAGACAATTTTTCACTCCGGGACGGAACAGGACTTGAGTCATTGAAAGTTGGCGCGAATAAGTATAGTATGCGATGCAAAATCGTCACGAGACGCGCCGGAGGGCCCCGGGGCCGTCGAAAAATAGTTATGGGTTCGTTTCTGGCGGCTCCGGGGGCTCAGAAGGGACCTCCGGGACAGGGGAGACACGGAAGGTGCAGACGCAAGTCTCGCCTATGTAGCAATTGCGTTACTTATGCGACCTCTCTTCGGGTGATGAGGAGGTTGATGGGGGAGGGAGGACCCGACTCCTCAATCGATCGACCTCTGGATCGATCGCTATCGATTCCATTGTGGGGTCTCGTGGTCGATCTGACTATCGATCTCACGATCGATCTCACCATCGATCTCACATCGATAATAGTATTGATCTCGCTATCGATGTCATGATCGATCGCACTAACGATTTCATTTTCGAGAGGAGGAGGAGGAGGCGAGAGGAGCTTTGCTCTCACCATTGATCTCCTAATCGATCTCACGATCGACCTCGCAATTGATATCGCTATCGATTCCACAGGCGATCTCACGATCGATCTCACTATCGATCTCACGCGGACTCCTGCATGGAGGTTTGTGGCCAGTTTGGGCGGCGGGACCCGGGATTGAGATCACCCGGCACGGGGTGAAGAGTTAGTCTTGGGTGGCCCCATGGCCAGGCCTTAGCCGTGAATCGATATTCCGAGCTTCGTGTTGCTGAGGGCACGCCAACGAGAAACCAGCCTGCAAGCGTTCGCCCCACGGAGATGTCGGACTCGTTGACCCACGGAGTCGGAGGGAGGAGAGGCGACGCCAACACCACCAGGGAGGCCTCCTCCAGAGAGGAGGTCCGCGATGCCTCCCCGAGCTGGGAAGGGGGAGTGTCCTTAGCAAATCCTGTGTGTTCTTGGACCCTGACCCCGCCGATCTGCGTGAGTGGTGCCACCGAGATCCAGAAATGCAGCAAATCCCGTTTGGTTTTGGACCCTGACCCTGCCGATTTGCGTGAGGGGCGCCTTGTAAACTGAGCTCTTGAGCGCGCTGGCGGAGGCGCAGGGCGCGCCGAGGATCCCGTGGAGCGCGCAGCAGCGCGCGCCTGCGGAGTAGTAGTAGTAGTAGTAGTAGTAGTAGTAGTAGTAGTAGTAGTAGTAGTAGTAGTAGTAGTAGTAATAGTCGTAGTCGTAGTAGTAGTAGTAGTAGTAGTAGTAGTAGTAGTAGTAGTAGTAGTAGTAGTAGTAGTAGTAGTAGTAGTAGTAGAAGTAGTAGTAGAAGTAGTCGTAGTAGTAGTAGTAGTAGTAGTAGTATAGTAGTAGTAAGTAGTAGTAGTAGCTATAGGAGTAGGAGTAGGAGTAGGAGTCAAGCTAGCCAGCTCGAGCGAGTCAAGCATGGCATGCCCAGTCCCACCCGCCCTCCCACAACATAAGAAGCAAAGCTGGCACAACTGGGGGCCGAAGTCACACCGGCCAGCCGGTTTGGTACAGCTGATGCGGCCGCGATGGCGGTTGCCGACGGGAACTGGCGAGCGCGTGTTGAATGCCGCGCACGCATTGCCAGACGAGTCGAGAATGGCCCGGTACACCGCAGGAAGCCAGAGGTGGCCGGAGGAAGCCCGACGGTCTGACAGGACACCCCAAAGCATTTTTGTGAAAAAGCATTGGGTTTTTGATGTTTTTATGTTGAAATGCTTGCAAACACACGGTGTTCGGTAGGATTCTGACATGAACGCGCGAGTGTGCTCTTTGTGGTATTTTTTGCACAGGATTCGCGGCCTGGGTGCATGACAGAGCATCGCGAGTGCACCGCGCGATGACGTGAAATCGCTGGATTTGACAGAATTCTTAAGATTCCTATGGTTTTCCTATGATTTCAGCAAGAGAGCCCGGGCGGGAAATTTGTACAATTTTTTTGTGAAAAAGCATTGGGTTTTTGATGTTTTTATGTTGAAATGCTTGCAAACACACGGTGTTCGGTAGGATTCTGACATGAACGCGCGCGTGTGCTCTTTGTGGTATTTTTTGCAATGGATTATCGCCGTGGACGACAGGACGTCCATGTCGAGAGGAAAAAATAAGAAAAATGTTGATTTTGTATTGTTTTTTACAGGTTAGGATGGGACCACCCGGATGCGGCCCCTATCTGCCGGCCTAAAAAGGGAGTAGGAGTATATTCTAATAGGGAATAAGGATAGGAGTAGGAGGAGGAGGAGG